AAGTATACGTTCTTTTCTACATTGCCCTATATGTATAATTCTCGGCCTCCGAGTTACTCTAAACATGAAGCTGCTGATACAGACTAACTCCAGCCGATGTCCAAGACCCTATAAACCTTGAAGTGACTTGGGTGAAGATACGCCTTCCTCCGTTCCTCGTCGTCCAAGATCCATCTCCTGCATTTACTGTGCAGTCGTATATTACCCTTAGCCTGATGTTGAACTTGAGACAGAACTCATATATCATTTGGAAACAACTATTGATGTTATTTTAACTAATTATTCGGATGCAGGTCTTGTAATATTGGGAGATTTTAATCGAATAATTATTGATCCGGTGCTTTTAACCCACTCATTTCGTCAAGTCGCTGATTGCCCTACTAGAGGAGCTCACATTTTAGATAAGATTATCACTAATATTCATCAGTTTTATGATAAACCACAGATTTATTCTCCTATTGGAATGTCTGACCACGATTCAATTATGTGGTTTCTACTTAAAATCCTAACCTAAATTACCAAATACTACTCGTTATGTATTCAACAGACCCATGACAGATAGTGCAATAAGGGTGTTTGGACAGTGGGTATCTTCTTATGATTGGCCAGAAGTGACTGAAGATGTTGATGTAAATGTTCGATGTGATTCTTTTTATAATACTTTAAATAATGCAATTAAAATTTATTTTCCAGTTCGTAAGGTATTATTGCACTTTAGAGATAAGCCCTGGATGACAGTTAAAATTAAATCTCTGATTCATAAGAGACAAATTGCATTTCATCTGGGTAAGGGAATTTTGTGGAAACGTTTAAGAAACAAAGTAAATTCATCAATTCAGAAAGCAAAAGTTAAATAATACAGGTCACGTATTCCGAAACTTAAGAAAAGTAATCCTTCACGATGGTATCAAGAAATACGCATCCTCACAAAGGGAAGTCGTCAATCACTCAATATCCCAGTTGATGGTGTTCATCCTAGTGAGAGAGATACAATTACGAATACCATAAACAAACATTTCATATCTGTCTTTTCTGATTTACACCCACTAAATTTAGCAGCTATACCTGCATACTAACCTTCTAGAGGTTTACCCGAGGTATAACCTTGGCAGATTAATAAAGTTCTTTCTAAAATCAAATGCTCGATGGCGAATGGCCCAGATAATATTTCAGCACGCCTAATCCGTCTTTTTTCTGTTGAACTCTTGGGACCTTTAAGCTATATAATTAACGCTTCTTTTAGTCAAGGAAAAGTTCAGGCCTCCTGGAAGTGTGCTATTGTAGTACCGATCCCAAAGGTGAATCATGCACGTATTGACAAACTCATACCTATATCATTAACATATCACTTTGCTAAAGTCATTGAAGGTTTCATCGCAAAGTGGATTTATCAGGACATTGCCCAACATATTGATCCCTATCAGTTTGGAAACCAGAAATGTTTATCGACCTCACATTGTTTGATTAATATTCTTCATTATGTTTTTCTAAATGCTGAGGTACCAAAAACGTCATCGACGATACTTCTCACAGATTTTCCAAAAGCGTTTGATAGAATAGATCATACAGTTGCCATCAAAAAGTTAATTAAAATCGGTGTACGACCAGCGGTAGTTTACTGGATATCTGATTTTCTTTCTGAACGTAAACAAAGAGTTCGCTATCACAGCGATCTCTCAGAATGGTGTCAAATAAATGCAGTTGTGCCTCAGGGTACGAAACTTGGACCCTTAATTTATCTTGTGATGATAAATGATTTCAAATCTTCTGAAAGCATACATATGTTTAAATATGTCGATGATCTAACCCTAGTTGTGTGTCGTAAATCAAACCAAATTTCAAACATGCAAGAAGCTGTAGAATATCTATCTTTGTGGGCTGATATTAATAAAATGCAATTGAATCCTACAAAGTGTATCAAAATGGACATTTGCTTTTCTAGAGTACCAGTCAATCAGTCTTCCATCATTCTCGAAAATTGTGTTCGTACAACTGTGTCACAGATTAAATTACTTGGTATCACGATACAAAACGATTTGAAGTGGGAAGCCCATGTCAGAGATATTGAAAAAAGAGCGAATGCGAAACTATATGCTCCGTTCTTTAGGGAAGTTCGGCCTTTCACATGAAGATCAGATTACTATTTTTATTGGCTATATTCGCCCAATCCTTGAATATGCTACTCAAGTTTGGAGCGGAGGCCTCACTGGTGCACATAAACAACGCATAGAAAGATTACAAAAACGTGCATTGAGGATTATCTTTAGAAAGGATTACCATAGTTACGCAAACGCTCTTACTCAATCGAAATTACAAGCATTGGAAAGTCGTCGAAAGGACTTATGTGTTACCTTCTTTAAACAAAACTCTATCATGCACAGACCAGTTCAAACAATTTATACCCCAAAGAGCACACAATAGAACTTTGCGAAGAACTATCAAGATCCCTGAACCCAGATGCAAAACTAAACGTATGCAGAATAGCCCAATCCCAGATTTGATCATATTGTATAACAACAGTTTGTTATGATTGTATTATACTTTGAAACAAATTAAATTGTCGAATTTCTTCTTCTTTTTTTTTAATTACAATTTCATACTCCTTAGTATATAATTAATTCATAAATCTGAGGTCTGATATTTTACCAAGTTATTCAATGTATTTTGTTTATGACATGAAGAATGCGATGCATATCTATATTTATATTTTAATATTTCTAATGTTTACCTCATAACATTCATATTTGTTTTGCAATGTATTTTTGTATTTTGTCAGCATGTACATAATTGTTTTCCCTCTCTGTCTATCTGTCCCCTTTCACCCATCTTTCTCTATCTCTCTCTCTCTCTCTTTCTCTCACTCTTTCTCTCTCTCTCTCTCTTTCTCTCCTGTTTTCCCATCTCTCTTTCTTTTTTAACTCAAATGTTTAAATTGAAATATTGAATAAGATTAATGGTATATAGTATATACACGCTCTTCATAATTATAAAGATTGTAGTGTGACATCCTGTATACTTGCTTTTTTTTCAGCAATTTACTTATGTGCAATTCAGTTACTTTTTACTGTGATATCTCTTGAAATGTTATTGTCTTCATCATCAATGTTTTATTCCTGCACAATTCAGTTGCTTGTAACTGCGATACATGGAAATGAATCAATAAATACCATTTATCTATGTATCTATCTATCTATGTAATGTAATCGTATTTTGTTTGTTAAACTACAAATATTAACTATTATTATTTATGAATGTTATAATGAATTAGTTATTATAATTATATATCATGTATTATATTGTTGTAATTTGTAGGTTAACATTACTTTGTATTTTTATTTTTGTTAAGCGCTTTGAAACATTAAAGCGCTATATGTAATATATTGTTATTATTATTATTATTATAAAATGTTAATTTAAATCGTTCATTTTTTTCTTCTATTATCAAGGAGATTTCATGTTCTTCATTTTTTTTTAATAAAAAGTCTAAAATACTTGATTTTTTGCTTTTGAATAATATGTGTTTTTAAGGCTACAAATGGCTCTCCGTAATGTTTAAGTCCAACTTAAAGGTAATACAAAGTTTTGGTATGGGGTCATGAATTTGGTTCAAATGAACATATTGGAAGCATATACGATCCTACAATATTCAGTGATCGTTGTCGCGGTCGAAATCGACTCTAAATTTATGAAATTGTAAATAATAAACACTTTATGTTGAATAGCTCCCTCTCAAGGTCAAGATATTAATTAAGCTATAAAACAATGTTTATTGACTAAAATTGACTGATTAGCTATTCTCGTTCGGAAATTATATACCACAACTACATACTCTGAGATTTTCATGGTCGCAGCTACCATTGTACGGCCGTAGGAGCTATTTTAAATTTATTAAAATTTACCGGGAGCACCGGTAAATCTTTATATTCAATTTTTCTCGAAAGCAGAAGTGTGTTAGGGGCTAACATTTCTTGTGGTTTTAATACATCCACAGGGGCATCCAAATATATTAAAAGTGTAAAGAATCACTATCCACCAATTTTTCAAAATTTCCCAAAACTTTGTAATACCTTTAAGAGTTAAGTTCGACTTAGGATCTTTGTGAAACACCCCCTGAAGTTCAATTGTAAGCATAACAGTCGATTTTCCGTTTCATCACCAAGCCTCGTAATATTTGTTTTGTTATTCTGCCCTCCTCTTAGAAGAATCTCGGTATGCTCCTTTCAATTTTCCATGAGACTCCATTCTATATTTAAAAATACTATCCGCTCAGTTGAATGCTTGTTTATGAACACTTTTTGTATTAAAGTTTTCATTTCATAACGCTAACAAACCGTTGACGTGAAGAGATGAAAAGCTTTATTTTTTTCTTTGTTCCTGACTGCCTCTACTAATGATGAGACTGATTTCATCTCTATCTGACCATTTTGATATTAAAATGTTATTTACATATCATCTCACATTGTCCATTACGAATCGATATCGACTTGGTTTAATTTCCATTTGGAAAGAAACAGCTATGGGGACTTAAAACTATCATCTAATCAGGAGTATACAAAACAAATGAATAAGGTATCAATACGCGGCAAGGGACTTACAGTTTTACATTCCTGATAAGAACCAAAGACCTACCCCCTAGTCCCCCTAAGATGGTGTCAGTCTAAAATGTCATCATGTTATTATATTTCCTACTCCATATCATTCTCCTGCTATTGCCTAAAATGTAATGTTCATGAACAAAGAAGAACCAGGTTTGAAATCAGTTTTCATTTCAGTAGCTGTCTTTCGCAATTGCATCAGAGCGAGTTTAAATTATAGATTCCATAATACAATTTACAGTACAACGATATAACTATGTCTTTTGCTGTAGGGCCAAGGGAACCGGCATCCCGCTGATCCCAATTCCCAAAATAACATTACAATCCGGGGCTTTGAACACTGATCACGAGGAAAGAATAATACGCCTACATCACTGCGACCCGATGCAGATATAGAAGACAGAAATGAAGAAGGTGTGGACTCGTCTCCATGATGCAGCTGCAAGCGGGAACATAGAAGTCATGCAATATCTCATTCAACGAGGTCATGGTACAAACCGATATGATGACAGGGGTTGCACACCACTCACTGCTGCAATTAAATATGGTCAACTAACAGCTGTCAGATATCTCATGACTAAAGGAGCAAAACAGAACAGATATAATGGATCAACCCCACTTCATGATGCAGCATATTATGGTCATTTAGATATCGTCGAATTCTTGATGTCCAAAGGAGCTGATGTGGACGAAGAAAATGACGACGGAATGATTCCTCTCCACGATGCAGCTTCTGCAGGCCAATTGAAGGTCATGGAATATCTCATTCAGCGAGGGTCTGATGTTAACAAGGCAGATGCCGACGGCTGGACACCTTTCAATGCTGCAATCCAAGAGGGTCATCTAAAAGCTGTCAGATATCTCATGACTCAAGGAGCAAAACAGAACAGATATAATGGATCAACCCCACTTTATTGGGCATCATCTTGTGGTCATCTAGATATCGTCAAGTTCTTGATGTCCGAAGGAGCTGATGTGGACGAAGAAGATGACGACGGAAAGATTCCTCTCCACGATGCAGCTGGTGGAGGCCACTTGAAGGTCATGGAATATCTCATTCAGCGAGGGTCTGATGTTAACAAGGCAGATGCCGAGGACTTGACTGCATTCCATGCTACAATCCTAGAGGGTCATCCCAAAGTTGTCAGATATCTCATGACTCAAGGAGCAAAACAGAACAGACATGATGGATTAACCCCACTTTATGGGGCAGCATCTTGTGGTCATCTAGATATCGTCAAATTCTTGATGTCCGAAGGAGCTGATGTGAACGAAGAACATGACGACGGAACGATTCCTCTCCACGGTGCAGCTTTTGGAGGCCACTTGAAGGTCATGGAATATCTCATTCAGCGAGGGTCTGATGTTAACAAGGCAGATGCCGACGGCTGGACACCATTCAATGCTGCAGTCCAAGAGGGTGATCTCAAAGCTGTCAGATATCTCATGACTCAAGGAGCAAAACAGAACAGATATAATGGATCAACCCCACTTCATGAAGCAGCATCTTGTGGTCATTTAGATATCGTCAAATTCTTGATGTCCGAAGGAGCTGATGTGAACGAAGAACATGACGACGGAGCGATTCCTCTCCACGCTGCAGCTTTTGGAGGCCACTTGAAGGTCATGGAATATCTCATTCAGCGAGGGTCTGATGTTAACAAGGCAGATGCCGACGGCTGGACACCTTTTAATGCTGCAATCCAAGAGGGTCATCTAAAAGATGTCAGATATCTCATGACTCAAGGAGCAAAACAGAACAGATATGATGGATCAACCCCACTTTATTGGGCAGCATATTGTGGTCATTTAGATATCGTCAAATTCTTGATGTCCGAAGGAGCTGATGTGGACGAAGAAGATGACGACGGAAAGATTCCTCTCCACGGTGCAGCTTTTGAAGGCCACTTGAATGTCATGGAGTATCTCATTCAGCGAGGGTCTGATGTTAACAAGGCAGATGCCGACGGTTGGACACCATTCAATGCTGCAATCCAAGATGGTCATCTAAAAGCTGTCAGATATCTCATGGCTCAAGGAGCAAAACAGAACAGATATAATGGATCAACCCCACTTTATTGGGCAGCATCTTGTGGTCATTTAGATATCGTCAAGTTCTTGATGTCCGAAGGAGCTGATGTGAACAAGGAAAGTGACGACGGAATGATTCCTCTCCACGGTGCAGCTTTTGAAGGCCACTTGAATGTCATGGAGTATCTCATTCAGCGAGGGACTGATGTTAACAAGGCAGATGCCGAGGGCTGGACACCACTCAATGCTGCAATCCAATATAGTCATCTAACAGCTGCACAAAAAGGACACCAAGGCATAGTCGATTTCCTTACACCGATTGAAGTAGACATGAACTTGAAATATATAAATGGTTATACGCCGCTCCAGGCAGCAGCGTACACAGGCCATCCACGTGTAATAGGAGGCATCTCAACACGTAGGGATGACCCAGGTAAGGGAGAAACAGGAGATCCACAACTTGAAGACCACCATAATCTAATAACAAGAAGATATATGACGGTATTACTGGAGGATGCAGACACGCATTCACGTACAGGAAATTTAGCATCCCAGGTAGATAATGCAAAGGAGAGGAATGAATGCAATCCAGCTGATAGTGCGAAGAGAGGAGCAGATAACCCCCCCCCCCCCCTTGAAGAATCTTTCCACGAGGACCCATGATGATAAAAAGGGAGGCAATGAGGAACTCAATCCTGTCATTCTTCCTCTGCTGCAATATCCTGACAATGATGAACACGATCCAATGCTATATCAGATGGAGGCAATTAAGTGCACCAGGACAAGGAAAAGAGACACCATAACAAATGGCACAGACTGTTCTTCCCCGCGTGGACCTCAGACAAGGCAACACAGCGTATTCGATCCACCCAATCTACAAACCATGAAAGCTGACGGTCATCCGTCTGAAGAACCGGCATCCAGATGTCACTCACTAATTGATGAAAACAGGGAAATGAGAGTGAGTGGTTATTATTTGTTTAAGTTTTCTCTAAACAAAGCAAATGCTCTATATTTGATTGAATCTTTGGATTAAAAAAAATAATGGAAAATACAGATATGTTTAGAAGCAACCATTCAGCCAATTCTAAAATCATCATAGAGATGAAAAACAAAGCTTCGTGAAGATTCCGTAATATGTTTTGCTTCAAACACACCTATGCATGAGAAGAAGACTCAAATTCTAAAAATAGAGAATGAAAAATTTAATACAATTATACACAATGGTCAGTTATTTTGGTTGTAAGAAACAATAACGTTTTCATTCTATGCATGAATTTTGTCTTTCTCGTTGTTTGTCTAATTCATCCTAGAGCACCCGTGCTGACCAAAACTAATTGTCGCTATTCTGTCTTCTTGGATCATATCATTTCACAGCATTCTAATATGACATTTTCTACGATGTATTTTATTTTCCCTTCAGGAATCTCCTTCACCCTGTCCGATGAATGCTGGAAATGATCTATCAATCAACGAACCATCAGAGATTGAGAGGTACTAGTCACTTTCCGTTTCTTTTATTATGAGGAAACCTTGTTATTCGTAGAACGAGATGTATTTAGTGCATATATTTCGCTCCACAAGTACTTGCATCATTAATAAAAACAGTTTTCTTCATGTTTATTGATATTTAGAATTATGCTTCATAATGTATATGAATATTCGTTTATGAAAAAAAAAGCATTATATACGTAAACTGCATGAGTTCACCTTTTGGCAGGATTAGAGCACTTTCGGATATTTTACCTTCCTGGACTTGATCCTCAAGAAGCTAGAGAACAGTGAAGCAAGACCTGATGCGGTACCAGGGTACTGTTGGTGTCAATATTTTAAATCTAGGTATTTTTCCTTTGCCATATGTGGGCTTTCTCCGATGAACATGTACGTCTATTTTTCAACAGTCATACATACATTTCTATCTTTCAGAGATTTTAGGGACCTAATTCGATTGGCTTTTTTGAACATCAGCTAACGTATTTCTACAATTAAATTCAACAGCTTCCCTAAACACCCATCAGATGTCGTTCACCAAAAGTTGTATGACGGAAACCCTGTCTCTACCTATGGAACCTCCTCAAACCCAGTTCGGAAAATCAGGGTAAGAGAGAATAATTATTGCTCCCATTTATAATTTATCAACAAATTGCTTTGGAAGTCATAAAATAGAATAACAAGCTTAAGATTTAAAAAAAATGGATTATCATTCTGTATCTGTGCAAAACAAAACGTATATGAGGACACTACCGAATATCAGTAGATTTAATGGTGAATTAAATGAAATGAGTAACCTTTACGATTTGTACAGGAAGGCATTCGTCATCAATTCAGATTTTTACTGCCTCGTTATATTTGCTATTCACTTTCAGGGGGTTAGGAATCGATATAATTTAATCTTTTGCACATATTGAGAAATGTCACTTGATTCCTTGTGGAACATTGAATTCAAGCATTGAATGGTGTCCCCTCCCCCAAAAAAAACATTTGTTATTGTTCACATCGGATGCTTGCTGATTAAGATATTCAGTGACTTTTGTCAAATTTCATCAACATTCTTTTTCAAACTCATATCATTTTTATTTAGACCAAGCGTCTAACATCAGTTGACCGTTGTTCTTCAATCCTGGGCCTCGTACAAACTTTCCTGCAGATGATCATCTCATGGGCCATCATTCTTGCTGGAAGTCCGGTTCTTGTAGCAGGCATTGATACCTCCGAACGGGTCACGCTACAAGCAGGTAAACCTGGTGTGGTCCCATTCCATCTCCCATGGTCACCTGATAGTACACTCCGAAGTTATTTTACACTTCGATTTGAATCCACACCTCATCCATTCTGTATTAATGGGGAAGTTAACATCGAGGGCTTCAAAAGCTCATCCCAAATGTCAAGATTTACAACCTCATTCACAGATTTAGACATTTCTACGTGCGTGAATATAATGATAGATAACGTTGATTCTCTAGACGAGGATGGGTACGTATTAACGGCAGCCTGGCATAGTTTTGAGAACGTTCGGCATGAAACTATGAAGAAGGAGATTGTTGTTCAAATTCCCCCCGGACCTGCTAAATGCTTCATCACTTTGAGTGAAAATGTTGACTATCCCTATGAAGTACACTGTCGAGCCACCACTGGAAGCGTTACAACCACACTATCATGTTACCAGAATGATCAGAAGATTGACATCAGGGGCGAAATTACAGATAATGGGCTAATTACCAGTGGCATATTTTTGCTACCCCATATCACTCATTTCTCTTGTTGCTCACATGATGTATCTTTGAATGTAAGTCAAACAATGTGCAATGACTTCGAGTGGCCATACGGCAAAGAAAGTACAAGCCTTACTGTCAATACTGTACCTACGGTTACCACTCCCACACCCCAAATAGAATCTCATACAGGGTCAGGGGCTTGTAGGCGATTCATGCTTCCTTCTCTGTGGCACTTCGAATACCTATTCGTAAACCTCCTCGCCTTTGTTACAATGTACTAAACAGAAAGTCTTCACACGTGATATAATAATAATAATAATAGTGGGTTCTTGTATAGCGCTCATGTCAGTCAGATTTGACCCTCCTGGCGCTCCCGATTTCACTTTCTTGTTTAAAAGATAGTGTAATACTTACAAATAAATGCAAAACAAATATCATCGTTCGATTTCGAATGTCTTCAATGTATATGATGTTCAAAGTTTTTACTATTTCACATTCGTTTCTAAAAATCTTGCATAAATGTTTTTATTTGAAAGAAAATATCAGAATGGCCTACTTTTCAATCCGTTGAATATATGCTTAGTTTGATAGTCTATAGTCTGCTATATTTCAATAATTGAGGGAAGATCTTTACGAATCGATGGCATTCTCTTTTAACACCATGTCGATTTGACATAGACTGTATAAGTACTTTGCTATCACCCAGCCATTTTGATCCCAATTTTAGAATGAAATTGAACCAAGGGGTTTATACAAGTTACTCCTAGAATCAACATGCTCACGATGAACATTACTCTAAAGGTATATTATACCCATGTTGCCAGATGTATTCTCATTACCAATCATGTAAATGTTAGTTTGGAGTATGATTTCATTTTTTAGATTTTATTTTTGCATTTAATGCAGAGTTATTGCTTTTCTAGTTTCAAGTAGACGATTCATAGTTATTTATCGCTGTGTCAATGTAGTTAAATATGACTTTGGAAATGTACCGCATTATGTACAAAATCTTGGTTTCTAAGTTATAAATGTATTCATGAATTGGCAATAATTTATCTGCCAGAACTAATCCAGAAATATAAATCCTCATGCAATCTACGGTCATCTTCACAACTAAACCTCGTATCTACTTCGGTGTCAACTCTTAATATAGTCATCGCTCTTTTTGCAAAGATTCTGCTGAACCTTTGAACAAACTACATTTACATGTCAAAAACTGTCCGACTGTCAACCAATTCAAAACTTGTCTTAAGACACAATTATTCAAAATTGCTTTTGATGATTAACTTACTCTCTGTTCACATTGATGCATATTTCATTTGTATTGTAATTTGTGGGATTATTTGAAATTGTTTGTTTTATTTATATTGGAATTGTTTATCATTGTATTTTGCTTGTCATAGCGCTCAGAGACGTCAGTGGAAAGCCCTTTGGAAGCACCGTTTTTATTATTATTATTATTATTATTCTCATGGAAATAAGAAATTTTCAACAGGGACGCTTGTTCCATTATCGAAGTCATAGTACATGTATATTTTTTAGTGCACGGAAAGACTTGTTATTTAATCAATTAACTTCTAAATATATAGTACATGTATGTCTACACTTCCTAATGTTGTTTATATTAATATATTCAGAACGACTCGCATTGATATTAACGCGTGTATTATATTATATAAGGCCATTCCCAACCATCACAAGCCACGCACCATAGAGAAACTGTGCTTCATTGCAAAATATAATGTAATGTTAGCAACTTATTGCATGATGTGAAGGTAGTGTCTATCACATGTACGTTTCATAATCTGTGAATTTGTGAATCCCAGAGCTGGAATAAGTTGTACAATGAAAAATTAGGACACTATAACCACGTAAACATTACAATTTTCTTTAGATTTTCTTTGTAAATAGATACCAATATAAAAGTGATTTTAAAAACATGCTTTGCACTCGTTGAACATTTTTTTTTTGTATGCTGGAAAATTAAAGTGTACTAATTCAAATGTGTATATACGCCGCAATTTAACTAAAACATCTTCATTATAAAACTCATTGTGGATATACATGTATACAATATGCATTTTGCATTTTATCATACCAACAAAAACCCACAAACTTTACGTAACAGATATAGCTTTACTCAATTCATTGTTTTATTTTAAAGTTTTATATTGTAAATAAGTGTCATTATCAAATATGTGTTAGTTTTTAAACAAATAATTATGCGAGTTTTATTATGAAAAAGTGCATTTACCTTACATGAAGTTTGGGACGCGCGTGCTTCGATTTTCGAAGCCTTATGGAGGAATGACGTAATCAAAATTGAGTTTTAAGAATGTGCATCAGTGGCCAATCTTGTTTTACTGCTGTCCTGTAAAAGATATCAAATATTTTACAATTTGATCTTATTCAGAAAATACAATATTTTTGTGTCATTGTACCACAAATATGGCTATTTTTGCCGAAAAAATAAGGATCAGATTAGAACCAATTGCTACAATAATGCAGATAATGATTGTTCTTCATTCAATGAAAGAAGATTGTTTCCCACCTATTTCGTGTGACTTTTGAGGAACACATGTGTCTTGTGCATTTAGTTTTAAGTGCTTGAAAACCTGCGCTTTCTCGCTTTTCTCTAATATAAAGATTTATCCAAACCATTATAATGAAATGATTATATACACATGTAGGAAATATTATATTGTTTTACAGTGTTGTGATTTATTGTAGTATGAACAAATCCATATAAACAGAGCACAGATATCACAAGTGTATATATAACACTAGACAGAATGCGACAAGTGAAACAGATAACAAATCAATGCATACATGTATGTATATGCAATCCAGTCTGTTTAATAGCATTTTTGTAGAGGTTTATTGGCCTCACTTTGCGTGATGAGGAAATGTTAATAGTAATAAAGAACCTCTTCATGTATTGTTAATCATGTGATATTAAATGTGGAAGGATTATGAATGGTAAACAGTGGTAGTCGTTAATGATGTATATTATTCGGTAAGATATTGTTTATTAATTATTTACATGAATTGATAATTAATTGTATATAATGTATACTGTTGCCCATATTTTGCATGCTTTACAGCATATCGTCTGTATTTGTACAGAAGAGTATAGTATGCATATGGTACAGTAATCTACAAATCTCGTAGTAAATTCTTTTTAAAAGATCGTCGTGTATAATAACAGAACATGCGTATGAGTATTTTGATAAACAAATAACGAAAGTTTCAAGTCTTATTAACGACATTATCACTGTTGTATATGTATATCACTCATTATTTTACTCAATATCATGATCATGATAATAAACGATCAACCTCTTTTGTATTGGGGTTAGAGTAAACGCTTAGATTGTGCACCTTATCAAATTATATTTGACATTCATACCGACCTATTTACTCATATTACAAAAAGATGTTGGTCACAAATGGTCTAATTTTGCTATTTAAGAATAGCAGTAAAACTTTTGAAGACCGTTTATTTCGCTCTTTATATTCATGCTCGTGAAATAACGATGCAAAAACAACATCAAAATACCTGCCATGAAGAGGAGTCACACACTAATAACAATAATTGAATATTTCACACAATTATGTATATACATATCCTGATTCATGGATATGTACCCATATATAATTTACAGGAATACAATGAATTTAATAATGGTACATGCATGTATCAAAGAAGTAAATTCCTAATGTATTTGATAATTTTGAAAATTATCTTCCTTTGTAAATAACTTTATCACTATAAAATATATGTATAAGTTTACTTTGTGTTTCAGTGTTCTTCTATACAAACGTGATTTAAAAAAACAAAACACTGAATACATATAATAGATGCTGAGAATGAACATATAACCTTTCTCTACTTTCTACTAGTGGGTTATGTTACTATTAATATATGTTAAAAATCGCTTCAAAACACCAACAGCAAGCAAAAAACTTAAGCTGGTTGTCATGAACTTACCATGCTATCCTCTCATGAATTGCAATAGTTATGTGCACTTTGTCTTAAACAGCTTGAACAAATTTGCTTTCTCGCTTTTCTCTAGAATAAAGAATGTTTTCAAACTATGACAATGGCATAATTATGTACCCATGCATGAAGTTATATATTGTTTGACAGTGTTGTGTTTTCTTGTAGTAGAATGTAATTCATAGTTAAAGGGCATACATATCAGAAGTGTAAATATAAACACGAAAGACAACGCTACATGTAGTTATATCCAGTACAGTCTGTTTAATAGCGTCTTTGTAGAGGGTCATGAGTTTTACTTTGCATGATACTGGAATGGCAATAGTGAGTAATAGACATTTTCTTCACATATTGTTAATCATACGATATGAAATTCGGAAGGAGTATTGCTGGTATTCAGTGGTTATAGCTAATGCTGTATATTGTTCATTGATACATGTATATCGTTAATGAATTATTTACAATTTGTAATACATAGTTTACAACATTTTGCTTACTTTGGAGTTTTTCTAAATTGAAATTAGATATATAGTGTATTGTTGAGTATAGTATGCATATTGTGCAGTGTCTATGAAAATCATAGTAAATTGATTCACAAAGATTTTTATGTATAACAACCAAACAACTCTCTGCGTATTTTGAACAATGAATTATGAAAGTTTGATATCGTAGTACAAAATTGTTAATGAATATCACTCAGTACTTCACATAAAATTATAATCCTTTTAAATCCTTTTAAAATAATTGTATCATTATATCATATACCCTGTAAGTTTGCTCAGTGTCTCAGTATTCTTCTATCCAACTATGAATCGTTAATTTTTTTTAAACATCAAATGGATACTAACCAGTATGCTTCTATGTGTTTCAGCGGGTTATAATAACAAACGTATCAATTATAATAGTATGCAAGATGACCCGCATATATGGATTTTATGAAATTTGAAGGCTTTTTGTTCTTTAATCTGTTCTGTAACCAGCGTTTTTTTTTAATGGATATTGAATGTGTCAGATCAAAATGAATGATCGAATTTGCTTGCTTTGCTAATAAATACATAAATGAAAATAAACTGTTCTCAGATTTGTTCTTATCTTGCTATGTATTGAGTAGGACTTTCATCCATTAGGCATGAAAATCATATTCAGTAAGGCTTACTGAATATGATTTTTCATGCCTAATGAATAGTACTTTCCTAAAATCAAAGAGTGATGAAGTCTGGTAAAAATATCAAATAATATATATGTCAGTTACTCCTATTTGGAACTATATACAGTGTATATCATCGTATAAATGCCCTATGCGTTTAAAAAGTTAGACTGAATTTCATGTGTGTAGTCCCCTACACTTTTACATGTGTGCGACGGTTGGTTTTACTGTGATATTTAAGCAAGAGTGGGTCTTCTATATACGGAGAGAGAAATTGGAGGAGAGAGATAGGAAGAAAGAGAGAGGGACAAAGAGGGAGGATAAAGAGGGGTAGACGGAGAAACAAAGAGAAGAAGAAGAGAGAACCAGTATTTGCTTGTCTTGTTGTGTGTGTGTCAGAGAGAGAGAGAGAGAGAGACAGACAGACAGACGTAGAAAAAAGAATAGTAGTGGAAAGAGCGTCCTCATCTAAAGTTGCCAGCTTAATGGTCTTTTATAAAACCTTACTCAGAACCAGAACCAGCTACAACAAACCTAGGGAGGATTGTTTTGCCAACTAAAGATTGGAATTCTGTGCTTTTGGGTAGAGCAGACTTTAGTAGAAAGGAAGGAATGTGTAGACGTCACTCTTTCAGTCCAATTTCTATCACTCTTTGTCCAAGGTTTTTAGACCCAAAATATTAAAAGCGACTGTTTGATTTCTTACCCTTCAGGGCATTTGTGAAAGAATAAGTAGGAATTTGTTGTTGTCTCCTTTTTCTACCGACCTTATATATTTGTGCATCATCTCTCGTTTTTTTCATTCTTTCCCTTCTTTTTCCATTTTCGCTTTCTTCTTAATATTTGCTCGTGGTATTCGTCGTATTTTGAACTTCAGACGTTCCCATGAAAACCCGGGGTCAAATGAACCAAATTCTTTTCTCCAAACCAATCTCTTTCTTTTTAAGGATTCACAATACTTGAACATAGAGAAGCATCGGACTTCCGAATATCCATCATCTTGTTTTTTATTTTTTAAATTCCAATAGAGTAAGCACTGAGTGGTATGTATAGGGAAGGAATAATAATATGATACACAATCTTGACACTCTCTTGCGTTAATAATCCAACCTACTCTGGCTCTTTAAATCTTTTCTTCTCCAAGTATGTTTCTTAGATAAAGGATTTTTCTGGTGCCATGTATCAATTCATATAAGCTAAGCATGGATAACAATTCTCTTTGCTTTCTTGATGGTAGTCACTGGTATTTCTCATTTCATGTAAATGAGTTAATCGCAGATACTAGGTCTCGGCCTTTTCAAATTGCAGATTCCATGTAAAGTACTAGTATATGTAGGCCTAGTACCAATTAACCAATGAATATTTGTCAAACAAACATCTTGTTTAATTTGATTTATTGATTCATTGATTCTTTGATAAGTAGCGTATGGACACAACAAACTATGGCGCTATCAAAAAGATGAATGATCTCAATATGTCCCTGTCTTCTGAGCAAAATATGTTTCTTAGGCTTCCAATCATTGCTTGAAGTTGAAGGGTGTAAATCAAAATCAGGAATTTCACAACAAGTACCTTCTTGTACGTCGCATGAAGGAGGTCTCTAAACATTAAAATGAATTACTTTCGTAGAAGTCAGTGGAGACTAGATTCTTGAGTCCCAAAAGATCGGCAAACTTTCAATTTTTGCATTAAGACTATGATTATAATAACGAAGAGCCTTTTGTCCATCATTTACAGGTGTTAAAAATAAATAGTTGATAAACATCCAAAAAAGATTGATAATTACATCGTATAATTGAAGGTACATTTCATACAATCATATGAAGAATAAAAATCAATATCATTATAGTTCAGTGTATTTTAAGATATTACTTCAAATTAACATATTGAATGTATATAACAAAATAAACATATTAAGCTACCAACACCTATGAATTGGACTTTATGTAAAAGACAGACACAAAAAATCCACATACACTTTGTCTTTAAACAAAAACACAACAAACAAACAAGCTTACGATGATAATTTCCTATGGAGTTATGATCAATTGCCAAATTGTATTCTTGCCTTTTACTTTCTAAAGCATTCTTTTTATTTCTGCCTTAGAGGATGATATTCTCTTTTCCCGACTGCGATAAATTATAAACTTGATCAGCAGAATTACATGATTCACTAATTTTCAAAACATCTATTTGTATGATTTATCCCTAAATGTACCTCTTTCCAGAGTAGGCCAAACGCAATCGAAAAGGGTATTACAAACATCGGCATACCGTCAGCTAACTCCTTCGATGCACTTGTAGTGGTGGCGCTATTCAAATCCAATTTTATAGTGGTTGAGAGATGTGCTGAGATTGTTTTTGGATATTGATCTTGTTGAATGGAAGATGATACTGAGGAGGTATTTTTAAGTTATTTTTAATAAAAAATATCACTTCGTAGAAACGAAGGAAGAATAATTCGTGCTTTGCCAAGATTCCGTGTTATAATGTTAGCATATAATCAACATGAGACAATTTACATGCAGTATGTAATTCCGAACGAAGTTCATCGAATTGGAATACATGATATTACAGACAATAAAGCCGGGCCTAGTCATCTTTTGTAAGTTGAAAACGATAAGATGACTCCAGCCCTCCGGTGATTTGATAAGATCATGCTCTCCGCCATTCTCCGAAATTAGAAGGCACTCTAGATACCATCACAATGCAGCTGCCTCTATAGTTTTGACCTCAGTTGAAAATTGTAAAACATTCGTTGCAACATTGCAATTTGTATGTGGTTCTCAAGTATTTTGTCATTTGTGGCAGGTCTGAAGTACTTGCCCTGCAGGTAGGAATCAATGACTCGGCAACAGGCGCGTACACAGGGGGGGGGGGGGGGAAGTTTGGGGGTTTAACCCCCCCCCCTTTGGTATTTTTTGTATGTAAACCCCCCCCCCCCCCATAAACCCCTAACCCCCTCTTTGATTTCTTGAAACAACATTTCATAAGATGCTCATCACACATAAGAGGGAAATAATAAGGAAGATGTATCGAAGATTAATTCTGAAATGAAATAAATAGTGAGAAAGTGAGCATGTGAAACTGGCTCATTTGCTTCCTACCCCAAGTATCAGATTAATTCTCCGGATAACAAATTACTTGTCATTCGACAAGTGTTTTTTTATCGAAACCGTAGTTTGATAAATTATTGGGGCGTGTACCAAAAGGTTATTTCATGATACTTTTAAGATAACGTAAGCTTGTTTCAATTGCTTTGACAAATCCTCTGTACATGGCAGCATATTACGGTCATTTAGACATCGTAGAGTTCTTGAGATCTCAGGGGATAGATGTGAACAAAGAAAACAAAATATGGCGAATTCCACTCCATGCTGCGGCTGCTAATGGTCATCTCGATGTCACAAAGTACCTTATTCAAGTCGGATCTGATATTAATAAAGAGGATGAGAAAGGGTGGACACCAATCCACACTGCGATTCAATACGGCCACGTGGATGTCGTCGAGTATCTCCTCTCCAAAGGAGGTATCCCGACCAAATATTCCGGAATGACCCCTCTCTACATGGCGGCCCAATATGGTCAATTAGAAGTAGTCAACTTCCTTATTTCAAAGGGATCTAATGTAAATGAAGAATATATGATAGGTCAGATACCTCTTCACGCTGCGTGTACTAATGGTCATTTGGAAATCATCCACTCCCTCATTTTAAACGGATCGGACGTAAACAAGACAGACCACAGTGGCGCTACACCATTACATTCTGCAGTACACTGTGGCCACATGGACATCGTCAAGCATCTGGTAACAAAAGGAGTTCACAAGAACAAGTTTGAGGGTATGAACACCCTATATATGGCAGCATCTTACGGCCATCTCGACATCATCAAATTATTTGTTTCACATGGTTTTGATGTGAACGAAGAAGATAGTAAAGGTCGGATTCCTCTCCACGCCGCGACTGCTAACGGCCACACTGCAGTCACCAGATATCTAACTGAACTTGGATCTAACGTTAATAAAAACGATGGAAACGGTCGAAGTCCTTTCCAAGAAGCCATTCAACGTGGCCACCTCGAAGTCGTCAAATATCTCCTAACACAAAGAGTTCACAAGATTAAGGTTGAGGGTATGAAGCCCCCATATATGGCAGCACATTACCGCCATCTCAACATCGTCAAATTCTTTGTTTCACATGGACTTGATGTGAACGAAGAAAATGGTAAAGGTCAGATTCCACTCCACGCCGCGACTGATAACGGTCACACTGAAGTCACCAGATACCTCACTGAAGTGGGATCTAACGTCAACAAGAATGACAACAATGGTTGGACATCGTCCCTTAAACGCAACATGGCGGCACCTACCTTTCCACTTCCAATTAGGAGGCAACCAAGTGTACGTCGAACCAAGAAAAACGCTGTAAGTAGTTAGTCCCGTTGTTTTATTCATAAATCATCGTATAGGTAAAAGCAAGAAGGCAATGCTAATGTCTTTCAGCTTCATGACCATCGTAAATCCTGATAATCTGTATAAATGTCTATATTTTGTACGTGATATGAAGGTCATTACATCATAAGTGATGGATTGGGTTTCTATTTAAAAGAGTTATACGAATGATGAGCAAATGGAATAGTTAATTTTGTTAACACTCTTAGATTTGTTTTACTACTATTAAGTGACACAATTACTTTAATAAGAATATAAAATCAGAGAAAGAATCAATTGATGATGTATAAAGTTTAGGAAAAATCTGGGATTCTAAATGAAGTATTGTCAGTAACCAATCAATTTCTTTCTGAAATGCTCGTCTGCGTTTTTCCGTTCATCTGATATAAAAGAGATTTTATTTATATTATTATCCATGTGATTTATTGCTTACAGCATCTCTCTTCACCCCGGACTGATGGAAGGGAGCTACTGATGGAAGAAAATTTTATAAAGAGGTAGGACCTTACAGATATTACATCGGCGGCTACTTTGTAAGCCTATGGCATATGGGATTTTGGGACATGTTACCTAAATGTTTTAGACTGACTCGTTCATTCGATCAATAAACTAAATTCGGTGCAAAAAGTCGGAAACTCGAGTTTTATTGATGATATCTCTTAATAACTAAAAATAAAATGTGTTATTTTTCTACCCTCTTTAGGCCTGATTATTTCCTTTTACAATGATGCCCAATTTGTTATACTGCAATTTTGGAATCACAGTACATTTTTATGTGGACGTTGGTCCTAAATCAGATCCTGCAAATTGATACAAATTTTGGGGTATTTTGGTATTTATTAACATTTATTTCCTTCTCAACAGCACAATATGAAACACAATGTAAATGTAAATTAGATATGTAACAATTATTTCATCATAGAGTATACAGTAAATAATTCAGATACGGAAGGAAGCGAAAACCCGGAAAGTATAGCTTGAGTTGCTAACGCCCATAATAAGTTAACACAGTTACCGAGAGAACTCTATTTAACAACATATATTGAACTTCTACACAGCTTAATTCTTTTTCAGAGACAACCATGCTCCAAAATACTTGAAACAAAAGTCAATAATAAGGATAACGCTTCGACAAACCATTGCAATTTGAAACATTTTACTTTCTAAGCCCCCCCCCCCCCCCATTTCCAGCAGTACTTCAAATCCCAGAATCACACAATCATAATGAGTTAAGGACACTAAATAGGTGTTCATGTAATTGTGACAACAAGTACAATGATAATAAAATAATAAACATCTGTTTAAAAACTGTATGTTTGGTTGTACACAAGTAACAAAATACCTTAAATCTCCCTTTCACCGAATTGCGGTTATTTTGTTGTGATAGTTGTATCTAAAATTCCCTTTCAGTGTTGACCAAAATACTTCACCGTCTGCCGCTCTTCGACGATCATTTGAAGGTGATCTTACATCTAGAAAAAGAAATCCAACCAACTCATTTTGGAAAAATAAGGTAAGAGAAGGATTGATAGTGGTTATATAGAACGAAAAAAAGAAGTCGCAAAACATAATTAATCGAGAAAAAGTTAAATGATGAATATGAGCTATACCAACTTCAAATGCGCAATAATCCATTTTATTCAATTTAACACTTAAAGTTTAACTGATGCTTAGTGTAAATAATAATTTGATCGGTAATATTTTACAACCATAGTAATTCACATGTTTCGGTTAAAAAAATGTTCACAAAGACTTAGAAACTCATCTTGAGATTATTTCATTAGCCGTGTACCTATTGAAATTTGTTCATATGCCAACGGGATAATACCCAAACTTATACAGGCAATACAATAGAGTATTGAAATTGCCCTTAGGTTGATTACTTGAAAGCCTATACAATCATTTTTGTTATTACAAAACAGTGTGGATAAACCGTTTGCACAATATGTCATAAGGTTTAACGAAAAACAGTTATTGGATTGTTTCTAATAAATGTTTCCGGCACATAATAGCATTGCCCTATAAAACTCATAGGTATAATAGCCGTCGGTAATCATAAATCTGTAGAAGAAAATTTATAGAAGAAAATCTGTTCTGAAATTAAAAAGAAATATTCGTCGAAAAATGACAATTCCAAACTGAATTTTTGTTGTGTGTTTTAATTGCAACTTTGCGTAATGCAAGTTAAGTTGAATTCTACCAAACAGAGGAAAATCTCTCAGACGTTGTTAAAACAATGACGTATATGGTACATTTAGCTTTTCAAAAAAAGGCTTCAATTTTCCCGAATAATTACTGGTTAAACGTTTACCTGGTTTCTTATATTTCCATTTAACCGAGGAGGTATTACAAACTGGAGTTCCAACTAACTATAATAAATGCAAATATCCGGCAGAATTTTTAAAATATGAATGGTTGAAATGTTTTATTATTTGATGCCAATATAAACAGAGGCGATTGGGAGATAAATATATATTTAAAAGTATTATAATGGGCAGTACATTAGCGAAGTTAAATTTTATGAATCAATGTGCTCATGGAGTAAATTAACGGCCGTAGATTAATCGATTAAAGCTTAAATGATATTTTTTCCAAGTCTCAACGTTCGGAACTTCCTGAGATAAAGCGTAAAAAGAGTCACAAACATTTTATGAATAATTTGAGTCCCTTTCCAATTCATTCCGGTTATTGTAATTTATACATTTCTATCATAAAATATTATTCTATCTTTGAAATGCCATTAATGCCAACACATGGCCAAGTCAGATATTTTTGTTTAAAGTCGTGTATTTTTAGGCAAAATATGTTCGCTTGTACTCGGTTATACCAATTTAGTTCAATTTCTTTGTTTAAAAAAATAAAAATAAAATGTGTCCCCGAAGGCTGATTACCCTATTAACATAATATCTCTCGTCGATAATTTATCTTCGTTATGCGATAGACAGATATTTGATTGTCTTGACCACCTGCAAGAGAAAACATATTTACCATGCTCGTTGTCGCGGCTTTGAACCTACTTCAAAAACAAGCTCTCAGCTGTTACTTCAGTTGGTGTGCATAAAGTGATGTGTATTCTCTTAATTGTCAATTTAAAATATCTTCGTTGTAAATGAAGTCGTGGTCACCCACTGTTTTTTGTTTGTATTCACCATCATCTAGACCAAACGTCGAACAACGAATAGCCCATCTTCTACTATCTTGGTTGTGGTAAACACAGTTCTCAAGTTGGTTTTGGCCTTGGCCATCTTGCTTGCTGCAAGTCCGCTTCTCGTAGCAGGCATTGATACCACCGAACGGGTCACGCTACAAGCAGGTAAACCTGGTGTGGTCCCATTCCATCTCCCATGGCCAACTAATAGTTCACTCCGAAGTTATTTTACACTCCGATTTGAGTCCAACCCTCGTCCATTCTGCATTAATGGAACAGCTGATATCAAGGGCTTTAAAAGACCATCCCAAGTACCAAGATTTACCACCTCAGTCACAGATTTAGACACCTCTCCCTGCGTGAATCTGATGATAGATAACGTTGATACTCTAGACGAGGATGGGTACGTATTAACGACAGTCTGGCATAGTTTTGAAAACGTAAGGTATATAACTATAAAGAAGGAAATTGTTGTACAAACTTCCCCCGGACCTGCAAAGTGCTTTATCACCTTAAGTGAAAATACTGATTATCCCTATGAAGTACACTGTCGAGCCACCACTGGAAGCGATACAACCACAATATCATGTTACCAGACTGATCAGATGATTGACGTCAAGATTGACCTTACAGGTAATGGGCTAATTACCAGAGGTATTTTCTTGCTACCCGATAAAACTTATTTCTCTTGTTGCGCGCATGACATAACGTCGCATGTGAGTGAAACAATGTGCAATGACTTCGTGTGGCCGCACAGCAAAGAAACTACAAAACAGGCTGTTAATACTGTACCTACATCGGTTACCACTCCCATACCCCAAGTAGAAACTCATACATGGTCAGGGGCATCTAGGCAGTTCATGATGCCTTCTCTGTGGCACTTCACGTACCTGTTCATATACATCCTCGCCTTTGTTACAATATACTAAACACAAAGTCTTCACATGTGATATTACTTTCTTATTACACAAAATAGTGTAATACCAACAAATAAATGCGAAAATATATTATCGTTCGAATTCAAATTTCATTAATGTATATAATGTAAAAAAACATTTATTATTTCACATTTTTTTCTAGAATTCATACATATATGTTTTTATTTGAAAAAAAATATCAAAATGACCTACTTGTCACTTCGTTGTTATGTGTATGTATGCTTTGTTTTAATAGTCTGTAGTCTCCTGTATTTCAATAATTGTGGGAAGATATTTAATATCGATGGTATTCTCTTTTATTAGCATGTCGATTTGACATAGACCAGGCCTTTTAAGAAGCTTGCTTTCGCCCAGCCATGTCTGACCCTAACTGTTGAATGAATTTGAACCGTGGGGATGACATGAGTTACTCCTACGATCAATATGGGCACGGTAAATATTACTCTAAATAAATGTCAATGATACCCATGTTACCAAATAAGTTCTCACCATTAAAGGGACTTGGTAACATTGTTTAGATAAGAGAGAGTGGTGTCAAGGTAGTCACTTCAATGCTAGATTTACAATTAAAGATAATCTGAAAATTTGAGTGAAAACGGACCATTATTCATGGTACAAATCGGGAAAAACTGAACTGATCGATTCCTTAATTCTCCCAACTATGCTATTACAATTTAATTACATTTTAGGTGAATGTTAATCGTCACAAAGCAATAAAATGGCTCTACATTCCATTCCAGACATTGAAGTGTTGACAGATTTTTTATAGCCTGTTTTTGTTTTTATTTTTCATGGAAAAACGGTTGGGAAAATTCAAAATTGGTTGGGATAATTTTCTGTTAATCACTGTTAGAGGGTGTCATACATTGACGCCTTCAAAGAAAACCATAGATATCTTCGTGGTTTGATAATTTTTTCAGGATTTGTTCATGTCAGAGGATTATTACAGTAGAAGAAATATCGTAAATAACATTTTATACAAAAATTAGGCATTTTTTGCATCAACCTTCAACAATGTTACCGAATCACTTTAATCATGAACATATTAATTTTCATAATTTTCAACTTTATTTCGAGCCGGGTGTTACATTTAAAGGTTAAATAATATGATATAGATATAGTGAATGCATATACAATTTTCAAAATATTGAATTTTCCTAGTGACCTCAGAGAGTAGAAGAAATTGAATATAAGAAGTAAATTGAACATTATATTGTAAATATATATTCCGTTTGAAACCAGAAAGTCAAACAATTTAACACAGATTTAACGCCTTTCTGGCTTCAAATAGCGATATATGGTTATTTATCGCTGTGTCAATGTTAATATGACTTTGGACCATGAATATAAGAAACATTGAACAGGAACGCATGTTACATTGTCAAAGTCATAGTATATTTGTATGGTGCACATGC